GATGCACCGTAAACACTACTTGTGTCACGCCGTAAGCACCATCAAAGACTGCAGTGGTGCCTCACCCAACACAAGCTTCACTCACCTGACCTTTGGGCCGACCACGCATACCGAACCCCCCATGGCGGGTTATCCGGAGCGGAGCAAGGCACATGTTCGGGTCAGTGGGTAGATGCATCCTTTCAATGACCACTTGGATAGCTATGATGAAAAACTCGTTCCCTGATCCAGCAGCGTTGGGTGTTTGTATCGCAGTTATTGTTAATTTTTTTTCTGTAACCAACATATCCAGCACTAAGAAATGCAGAGGGTTCCCTTTTTCCCAGCACTGTTTGCAACTGGAAAGCCTCAGCCAGACATGACGTGACTAGATAAAGCGCATGGTAGCTCTTGACTTCGTATGCAAGATGCAATTTTTTATTCTTTCAATGCATCAAAACCTTGGATGACCGCGGGAGACCACTCTTGGCAATCCCACTGGTTGAGTGGGATCATCCGAGCATCGAGCATCACACGAACCGGAGGCCGATGCTCCGAAAAGGGCGGTGGAGGAAGCGGTTCCGCCGCGCTGCGGTTGGTGGGGCGGGTTGCCCTCGAAAAATATCGGCTGCACGGCTCCGGGTTTCTTCAAAGGTGCCCTGTTTTCTTATGAAGCTTGTACTACAAGTGGCAATTCGGGACAGGGTTGCGGGGCGCGATTTCAGAGGAAACTATTTTTTTTTGAAGAACCTATCGTGCTTTCACATCGCGATGTATAATCCTTTGTATTAAATGTCTATTTTAGTGAGGCCAGTGGACAGTTTTCTTAGCAAGATGATGTTCAGTCCAACTTTTGTGCCAACTGCGGATCAACCAGGTGACAGGCCGAAACTTCTGTGCCGCTTCTTTGAATGAAACCTGTGCGGAAATTCCGTGGACCGCCATGGACCGAAACTTCTTCTCTTCGTGGCAACCGCCATGGACCGTACGCACCAGCAACCCCATCCACAGTGAGATGCGATACTAGATATCTAGATACTAGATATGCTTGAGCATGCGGCCGTCGACCTTGTTTCCTCCCAAACGCCGGTTCCGCGGAACCCCGCAGGTTCGGTGTGAAATAGTCCGAACCTCGGAGAGTTCCGAGTGATGCCGAACGTTCTCAAGGAGCTCAGGGAGAAGCACAACCACTACTTGCACCTCGGATCTTCGATTCCTCGCCCCGCTCGACTCGACTTCACTCGAGGGGCCACCGGGCGACACCACCTCGCCACATCCGGCACCCGTCAACTGAGTGAAAACGAGGCGCCACTTGGATGACGACAAGGACACGAATCGTCGTGGGAAAAGGGCCGGGGGCCCCTTGGCGATCGATCGACCTTCCGGGAGCCCAAGAAGAATCGGTATATGGTTTTTGGTGAAATCACGTGGATGGCCTGGTTTTTGGTGAAAGACCTTTTCCTCATGTTTGATGCGAATAGTATATAGGGGATGGTCCACTTCCAAGTTAGTGACTCGAAATGCACTTCTTTGCTTGTGTTTCCTGTTTTGAAGCAGGGGCATCCTTTTTTGAGTGACAAACTTGCTGAGAAGAGGACCAACAAAAACATGGAATCCGGAAAGACTCTTTGGCGTGCCAAATGCATCTATTTACAGCTGCCAAGTGGCTCCAACGAAGAAATGTTTGACAAAGGATAGAAGTTGTCCTACTCCTACAGGATGTTTGCTTTAGAAACCATACCGTAGACTGTAAGACTGTAGAAATGGCACTTTAAAATTTGCGACTGGATGGCCTTCCAGGATGCAAAATGAGCCAATTCGTTTGTTCAAGCAACCAGGGAACTTAAGCCACTTAAGCCCTATGCGCGGGGACCGAAGAATAAACACCACTTGACCATGTCACATGTCTTCGTTTTCTTCCCATATGTCAGAGGAGTCTTTGGAGTACATGATGCCCGGTCTCCGAGTGGAATCGCGACTGACCGGTCAGGGCGACCGGCGTTTGGTCAGAGAGCTGAGAGCTTTCGTGTCGTTTCACCTGGGTGGCTTGCTGTTTTCGGGGAGGCTAGGAATTTAGCATTCTAAACATATCGAGAATTAACTCAATGGCCACGCTTTTATGCCCGCAGTCCTGGCCGGGGCCTTTTATTTCCCAGCCCTTGATTAAGAGTTCTGCCTCCGTCCGAAGACTGAGGGCAGCCAAGGACATCACTTTTGTCATTTACGGACATCAATACCCGACTGATTAGGTAAGAAGACAAAGATTGCCAAATCCAAATCACCTTTTTGCAACGAAAGAGTTCATGTCATGCAGTCCAATTTGCTTTTCTTTCAGGCATTCGATCTTCAAAGAACCGGCGATTCCGCCTCATCAGCACCAGCGGACAATCACTGATTGGTCGCCAGAGACCCATCCGGTCACCATCTGGTCTGTGGCCGCCAGGTGAGGGACCCCCCGATCGCCCCTCGCACCTGGTGACCTGGTGGGGTGTTTTCTGGTCGAGGACCCCGAACTTCCCGAACCTATTTGAATACACCCAAATCTTTCACTTCAAGGCCTTTGACGTTGAAAGATCAGTCCTGGCAGTCCCTCCCCTCCTCCCGTCCCGGCTCGACATGATCATCTTTTGGGGACTTGCCTGGTGTTCACTGGATTTACCCGATGGTCATGGCTTCAGTCTCGGCGCTCCCCTGTTGGGGCACGCGTTCTCTTTGACTCGATTGTAGTCGGGCCAGCAGATGAACAGCCACATAGTTGGGGGTGGCCTATTTGGAGGGTAGCCTGGAAACCGCTCCTCCGAGGGGGACGGAAGATGGTTTATCACCATCCACGGTGCTCGACAACCAGTAGGAGAGGACCATGGTCAACCTCCGTCCCCTTTGGAACCTCCTTCCATTCCTAGGGAAGATCGCCGACCCAAACCACGGAGTTTATGAAAACATCATCATGTCACCCTATTTCACCTCTTTCTTGCAAAAATTGCTACTAGGTTGGCCTCCAAGACTTCTTCGTCTTTTCCACCTTTTCCATCCGTGTCCCAAGGACGGAACACCTTCGCATGGGTGGTGTCTACTGGGCCGTCAGCGTGTGGGTCTCAAGTGGGTCGCCGTTGAGTGGTCGGGTTTTGCGCCATCTGGTCGGCCATCTGGTGCTTTGGACCTCAAATACCATAGAATACATGTCGTTGATACTTTTCCGTATCAGGGTGGTGGAGAAACCGTGTCTCTCATGATCAAGAATGGTTCTCCATGATCGGTAGCCGATAATCTGGTTTATCTATACCAGTGAATGGGCAACCATGGGAGAAAAGGCTTCACCGAACTGAAATGACACGGATGAGCCGTTGCACTACCAGTCCAGAACGGTTGAGCCGTGCTATGAGAGCCGTTCGCTTTAGGTGACGTCACTTTTCTTGGGCTATGTCACGCGGACAGAGACAGGATGTGGTTCATGATTCAAGCTGGATGTTTGATCCAAATCTAATAGATGTATGTTCTTCAGAACTTCAGAGTCTTCAAATCTCCACGTCTTTCCAGGTCCTTCTTTTTTCTTCTTCACTGTCTGCCGATTCTTGAAGCTGTTTGTTGGAAGGGACAGATATTTGACATATACATACATATATATATATAGGTTTCTGATATATATATGTATATATATACATACACGCACTGTATCATACTGTCATTTGATACACGTCCCTCTCTTTCTCTCTTCCAAGATAATTTTCCTTCTTCCCGATGGTTGGACATGGGCGTGAAAACACGAGGCCATGTCCTTGCTTCGGCAGTTGGATGATGAGCAGAGGATTTCGAGCAACGATGGGTTGCGAAACGGCCATTCCGCAACGGCCCTTCCTGGTGAAAAAAGGGTGCTCGGAAGTTGACAGGGTCCTCTACAAGGCGTCTATGACCTAAGTCTACACTTACAGCATCTTACAGTCCCTGAAATCCTTCTTCCTGCGCTCAAAGCAACCAAGAACCCACCTTGTTGCCTTCTTTGTTCTCTTTTCGTTGGGGGCCGAAGGGTACGAAAGATCCACCGGTGGCCAGACAGACGGACCGATGGAAAGGGCGACCCCTTCCAATCTGGCCCTCTGGCTGGGTAGAGTCGAGGGGTCGAGTTTCTGTCGCTTCTCAGGGGGTTCACTATTTCACACAGTCATTGTAGACTCTTTTTCGTATTCCTGATTAGCATGGAACTCCCACTGCGTGGTAGAGGAGAATTCTGCACAGCCATTTCTTTCCCGGGGGGGTACAACAAAATACACAACCCCAGGCCTGGTCTGTGGCTTTACAATCCATGTCTGGGTGGGGTTTGATTCATCACTCGAGCGAAGAGTCAGGAGAGATGACATCATCGAGTGGATCTTGAGGCGGGCCGCTGGTGGGTTGGTTGTGAAGGTGTTGGCCAGTTGCTGAAGGAACCTTCGAACAAAGGTGGGCACTGGCATCTTGTGTCCACTGGCCTTTGCGACCTTTGAACCAAGATTCTTGCCAATTCTTGCAATTTCTTGCAACACCTTTGCACATTTTAATTCCTTAGCTCAACCCCCAAAAACCATGACAGGGACAACTGATGGAACTGGCAAGTGGGCTTCTGACTTTTTGCTGGTTTTCGCTCCTTCTTCAGTGCTGGGTCCGACCTCGCGTCCTGGGTGGGTCCTCAGCCTTAGCGCCGGCTTCTGGGTCCTTAGCGCATGGAAGACACCGAAGCCTTTCGGTCGAAGCAACGAGGAAGCCGACATCGATTTCGGTGCTGATGATTTCGGTCGTTGTCTTTTTTTCTCCCTTTTCTTTTTTTGGTGCGAACAAATACGACAGACCTCTGGCGGAGAACCGTAACTGCCTTCCTGATTCTGTGATTAAGACAGTGCCTTGCCCATCTGCCCTGAGACGGTGTCTCTCCTCTTTCGTGAATTGGCTTTGTTCTTTATAGGGCTCAAAGCGAGGCAACACAAAAACACATCCTGAGCTCTTCCGACATTCTGCAGTTTTTCGGTTTGAGTGGCCCAGCGCTGCAGGTGTCGCGACCCCAAGACTTCCGGTGGCTTTGGGCCGAATGTGGGCCACGATGCAGATCTGGTGGCGACACACTACGTGGAACACTCGGATGGGTCATGATGGGTTAAGCCAATCAAGTGCAGATGGTGAATGTTAGAACTTGAATGTGCAGATGGGTGTGTCATTCTGAAAGTCTCAAACAAAAATCCGCCGACCCCACTCGTGGGGTCAGGTGTGACTGTTGATTAAGGCTAAGGCTATGATTAAGGCTAAGGCTATGATTAAGGCTATACCTCCCCTACCCCTCCGGAGCTTTGTTGGAGTGACGAAAAGTAGCCCAAAATTGTCCAAGATTTCTCCATCCCAATTGATTTACATCTTGGGGCACCCTCTCCACCCGCGGGGGAAAATAAGCACGGTCCCTAAATGGTCCCGGGCTCGAATCCCGGCCTGGTTGCGGCCTGGTCCCTGCCAGTGCCCTTGGTTTTTCCTAGATTATGTAACGTTTTCCGCTGGATTGCTAGGATTCTCAAAGGTTTTTGTAAGATTTACTTATGCCTTTTTCGAGGGTTTTTCCAGGATTTTCTATGGTTTTTCCAGGAAGTTCTGTGGTTTCCTGAGATTTTCCACTCTTTTTTCTAAGGTACTTTCGAGGTTTTTTTCTAGGAGTTTCTCCTCTATGCGCTCCGCACTTGCAAGCTTTTTCTGCTCTTTTCTAGTGCTGTGCTCGCATTCTGCAAGTGTGCCGGTGGAGGCTTTTGGGTTCCCAGATTTTCAAAGAAAAATGCTAACCCATTTGCCGTGCTCGATTTTTTTTAAAACTCTTAACCCATTATATAAACCTAGGCCATCCCCTTTGTGGGGGTCGGCGGCTGCCAGGCGCTAGCCTGGTTAAATAATCAATAGAACAGACACCCTTTGGACACACAGAAGATCACTAGTTTCAGCTTGGGTTTCTGACCCCCCCGCGAATCACTGGCTTCATTATATACCTGTGCTACCCTTAGCAGCCTATACTTGGAGAGTTCTGTGCTTGGAACAGTTTTTGAAGCTTTTAAGCTTTGGCACCGGCGGCCGTTCGCCTTCGCGCGCGCAGAACCCACGTGCGCAGAACGCCGGCGGCGTGGGCTCGCCGGAACGAGGCGCTGCTGGTTCTGTGCATGTTCGACGCCCTCGAACGGCTGCCCCATCGGGGAGGTGGGTCCCCGGAGTGGTCGCGTGGTCGGCAGTGGCGATGGTGAGTGTGAAGTGGGTGGTGATCGGGTGGTGCCGAACAAATGGGTACTGGAGATTTTCACCATGGGCAGTCTAGTAATCCAAGAATGTGCCCATTTTGGCGCCTGAGGGTTTCCAAAAGCAAGAGCTTGCGGAGCTGTGCTGTTCTTTTTGGCTCGCCAATGGGAATCCAGATTTTGATCAGTCTTCAGAGGTTTTAAATATCCGAAGTGGGGAATTCAGGATATTTTACGTAGTGAATGCTACTTTTCAGAGTGTGTCCAGTTTTCCAGAGCTGTCTGAAGAGGGTTTCGTGGGATTGGGCGGAGCATTTCCCAGACATTTGGGAATGCTGATCCTTTTTGGACAGGCCTTGTGAGGAGTACAGAGACACAATTCTCTCACAGCCTTTGGTGTCAAACTCCTAAATGCACAAGAACTGTTTTGAGACTTTCGATCCCTTAAACGCCTTAAACTTCCAAAGACATCTCGGGTTGGTTCACGAAGCATTTTGTTGACCACGACTCATCATCCACTTTTTGAGTGCTGAGAATCGCACCACGCTACAGCATCAAACAGATTCTGTATGTTTTGATTCTGTACACTCCAAAACAGTCGCCAGACGGGCTGAATTCGGGTCCGGTGGCGACAGGAGTGGTGGCCTTTATTGCTGGATTACAACAAGCCGATGGCTCCTTTGCCAGTGATGCGTGGGGCGAGGCCCCAGCTGGATCATGGATGGCGGGGTTTTCAGTTCCATCTTTCAAATTCGCTGGCGCATAGGGTCGATGGTGATACTTAGGGTCGATTCTTTAGTGGCTTTCTTTCCGCCTTCCGGGTGGATGCGAACGGTGGTTTTTCGAAACGTCGATCGAAAGTCACGCTGTTTCAGCGGGTTGTTTCAGGGTCCAGTTCTGAAACGGGTCAGGTCAGGTTGAAGGAACTGGTCGGTCAAGAAGCGCTCCAGAGCAGATTTTCGAGCGCTTCGTTGGGGTTTCAACCCCGGTCTTAGCGCCACCTGCCACCAACACCCGAGGGTTCCCTGACAAAGTGGGGGGGCTCGACCTTGTTACAGTCTTATGTGCTTGCGGCGTCGCACAGGTCCAAAATCAGGTGCCAAATCAGCTCACGGTCGGTCTGCCCTGAAATCATCCCGGAATCCACCACCAGGACTCACAGGACTCGGGTGGGACTGATGGATTGTGGGACATGGTGGGACTGGTAGGTCTTGATCTTGATATCTTGAACTCGAACCCCCCACGAAGCACCTCCGCTTCCTTGTGAGCTCAGGGGGTGTAGAAGTCGCAGCAGAAAGTTGCCCAAAAAATGCCAGAACCAAAGACACTTCGGACACTAACAAGGGGTTGTGCAAGAATATAAGAATTGCAGTGATTTTGTTTGAAGTACAAGCGGTTCTTGTGGCTTTCATGCAACAAAAGGTGAAGAATCTTACCCAACATCCCTCAATGTCCTTTGGGGAAGTAGTGGCACTGCCAGCCAGCTGCTCTACTCCTGGAGTTGAGCCGGATTGTCTGGAGCAACTACGCCAAGACTGTCTTGCAGCGAGTGAGAAGTGCTTCTGTGGGGACTACGGCTATCTTTTCCATGAAGGTTTTGCTAGCTTTCTAGAGACGAATGCTTCCGAGGAGGAAGGTGCAAGCTTCTTCTACTGCTGCTCACTTGAGAGTTGTAAGCATCTTGCACATAATTACGACAGTGCTGGGCTGGCCCTCTTGATTGTGGGTGTGATCGGAGTTCTGATTTCAACCTTGTACCTTCAACTTCCGCGAAGGATCGTGACTCTCAAGCCCAACGACGAGGAATACCTGGCACCTGCGTGGCGTGGAGATGGAGCAGCGCTTCATGACCAGGTGCCGTTCCACGAGTGGTGCGTGAATCTTGAAGACTTGCGACAGTTCCGCAGGCTGGTCATGCACGCTGTGGCTCAAGGACAACTTCGGCCCACTGAGCGAGATCCGTTCGAAGTGATGGATTGGACGGTCGGGCCATCGGTTTACACCGTGACGGATCAGTTCATCACGCCAGTGACGAAAGCAGCAGGCCGGATGAGCTGGGCTTTGCTGAAGCATCCTGAAGGCTTGACTTGCAATGTGTTTATCACCCATTGCTGGGCAGAAGGCATTTATGAGTTTCTTGATCGGGTAGAGCAGTCCTGGCCGAGAGGTGCACTTGGTGCGTACGTTTGCTTCCTGTCGAACCCACAAAACTTGGACATCTCGCGCTTGTTGGCGTCTCCAAAAGAATCTCCTTTCGCAATGGCATTGGCTTCAGCATCAACGGTCTTGGTGATTCCCAATGAAAGGGTCAGCATCTACACACGCCTTTGGTGCGTCTATGAGGCAGGGTTGCGTAGTCTACAACAATTCCAAAACAGCGCATGGGGATGCATGGGGCGGGGATTGACACAGTATTGTAATCTTCTTCACTTCTGGATTTTTGGGCACGTCCAAACCCTGGTATCAGGCCTTCCTGGCTTATACATGGACCAAAAAGATACGAACTGCTCATGCAAGGCCTCACGCGATCTGGCTTCGTACCCAGTCCTGTCAAAGCCTTTTTCCCTTTTTGTCCCCCCCACACAGACACAGTTCTTTGTGAAGCAGTGAGACTGAAGTTTCAAGTTGCAAAGTTTCCGAGTTGCGACTTCTGTGCCCTGATCGCGGCCCTGTGATTTCGGGCGGTGAGCAGTCAGGGTCTGTTTCAGGACAGTTTCGGGCGTGTTCGCTGCGGAGGCTTGAAAACTATCAGAGCTATATAGAGGTTTTAAGCTTTTGAGAGAAGAGCGTCAAGAAGTTTCCAGAAGACCGTTTCAAGGGTAGAGATTTTGAGAGAAACCTAGTATTGTATCCCTTAGTTTGGGATTCCAGCCCTTCTAGCGTTCAAAGAGCATTGCCGGAGAGCGGGTGCGCCCGTTACGGTCGGCCGGGCCGGCGGAGTGTTGATTTATCAATGATTTCTTTTGCCCAGCAGCGTTAGACATATACAAAAAGTCTATGCATGTGTACACTGATTTGTTTGATGTGTTGGGGGTGCAAACAGTTCATTCAGCTTTTGGCCAAGCACGCAAAACAGCTTATATGAGGTGTCCTGCGAGTGGGGCTTTGGTTCATTGCAGTTCAGGGAGGCTCCTTTCTCATGGAGGTGCGGAATTTCCGACCGCCGGTTTTACTTGCAGGCGGGTATTTGTATGCTATGCTTGCTGCATTTGGCATCGCCGCGATCGCACTCAGTCCACCTTACCTGTCTGAGCATCTGAAAAGGTTGAGCGTTGCAGTAAGCTGTACCCTGATGAGTACCCTAGGGGCAAGGCTTGATTTGATCACAGAAATGGGTGAACTGGGCTGGATGGTGTCCAAGCTGAGCTGGTTCCAGCTGTGCTGTTGCCTGGAAATTGACAGAGTGATGACTTCAGATGCCTACCTTCGCAGCCAATTCTTGCAGCGGGGCTTCAGTGGAAGATTGGTAGAGGCCGAATGTTCTGCAGTTGCAGACAAAGAGAATATCCACCACGAGCTGGCTTTGAGTGGCAAAGCACAGGAGGTGGAAGATGCCGTGCAAACCTTGATGCACATGAATTTGGTGACGCCTGAGCTAGAATCAATAGTGAGTTTGGCAGGCACTCTGGGTGATGTCTCCTACTTCCGCTGGTTCTTAGTATCTTTCGGAGTCATGGTTTGGGCCATCTTTCCCCTCGTGAATTACGGCCTTGGCCCCGGGAACAAATTTAGTGCGTTCCATGGAACTCTGTTGGTGGAGGCCATTTTGTGGCTGGCCCTCCTTGCGTGGCTACCACCTGAGCGGCAGACTTTTGCCACAAGTTGGATGAAAGTTTGGCTGCTTCACCTCTTGGTCTTTGACATATATGACTATGGTTCTGACAATCAATCACTTGTAGCAGCAGCAGTAGTGGGCCCCCTGTGTATTTTGGTGTCACTGGCAGGGCCGCTTCGCGTCGCTCGTATCCCCTGCCTGGGCATTCTTCTCATCAAACTGTTGCTTGGGCCCAGCTGTTGTGGGTTGTGCCGCACCATTCCTCGGCATCGCCCTGTGGCTCCTGAAGTGGAGGAGTCTGAGAAGACTCCACAACCTCAGGTGGACACTTACGTGGACTATATTAGTATGTCAATTTGAGAAGGATTTCTCTCGTCTCTATTTTCCCAAAGGGATCACAGACCTGATGCATCATTCGTTTTCCACAGTCCCAATTCAGTCTTCGAAGTTGTACTTTGGCCTTCGAAGTTGTACTTTGGTTTTCCATGCAAGAAAAAGGATACGCCGTGGGCTGCTTGCCTTGCAGAGAAGAATGAATCTCATCATCAGTCCTTGTCGAAGTTTGTGACCTACCTCTTGTGGACATTTTGGGCAGTCTTGCACAAACTGTTCGTTGTTTTGGGTAGATCTACGATTGTATGGGGGTGTATCGGAATAGGGAGACCCCCCCAACCACCGTGGTTTCGTTTATTTTCTCTCTTCCAGAGGTCTATCGGAGGTCTCCCTAAATCATCCTATATCAATATACACTCATTTAAGATTTGAAAACGACTGGCCACAGCTATCTCTCTCGTTCTCGAAGAGTAGAATTAAGGGATGAAGTCCGCAGACTCCATGGATTCAAGGGCTGACACTGACACTTAAGAATTGCATGACTAGGCCTGCTTCCTCTCTTTTTCAGATCATTCAGCCTCATTCCTCTTCTTGCCAGGTCGATGTAAGGCCGGTTACTCAGCAGGTCCATATGGATCACGCATGTTGAAGCGTTTATTGCTATTGCTATTATTGTTATCACTATTGTCGTATATTGTTATTATGATTGTTATTATTGCAATTTTTCTGTTGTTGTTAATACTTATTCTTTGTATGTGTGTGGGTGTGCGTGTGCACCTTGTAGTCACTCGACATTTTCTTAATGGGGGTAGCGGCAGATCATTTGGGACCGCTACCAACGAAAACGCCCATTTGATTTGGTGATATCGGAGTTGGCCACTCTGACGTACCTTCTACATGTTCATGGTGATTATGTTCAACGGTTTTGCATTCCCACTTCGGTCTACACAGGCTGTTTCAGGCAAGGTAGGTCTGCAGTCAAACATTTTTCAACTTGGAGGTTTTAGATCTTTCGAGCATGATTTGATCTCATCATTCAATCAGTCCGTAGTCTATCTCAAGAGCGTGTCAAAAGAGCGTCTTCAAAATGACCAACACATGTCTTGCCTCGTTGTTGTCGTTGTTGTCGTCTTTGCCTGAAAAGAGCTTCTTCAAAGTGACCAGAATGTTTTCTCGTTTCGTTCTCAGCAGGTTTTCCTCCAAAAAGACGCGTTTCCCCGGGTGGGTGGACCTTGCCGGGTCCCTCGCCGTTGTCCCTCGGCTCTCGTCTCTCAGGTTCGCCTACTGCGCTTTGTCGTCCTTGACCATCTTGGATGCCTTGGACCAGATCGACGTGGATGCATGTGTGGATTGGATCTTGCCCTGAGCTCATGCGAAGAAAGAGGGGGTTGGTTTCGGGCATTCCAGGGACGCACGAACTTGATGCATCCCATGGTCATCCGGAAAGACTTCGGACTCGCGGGCAGATTGGGCGACCTAGGCGTTGCATGAACTACGAGGGGTCCTTTGGCCCGGTGCCAAGGGCGGAATCTCATGCGGCCTACGTGTTTTGTGCCGTGCAGGTCTGGGCGGGATGTCCGGGCGAGTGGATGAAGCACGGTTGGGTGGACCAAGTGCAAGACTTGGATGGCTTTGGACGTGCCGGATGTCCGGGCAGGGTGTCATGTATACGATGCAGGGGGAAGTCACATGTCCAGTGAAAGCTCCTATGTGGAGCAGTACTTTCACCAACGCTCCATCCAATTTCTCCACTTCTATCTATATATACAAATATTGATGTTGACTGATGATGGCCATGTTCTTCGGTATTGGAAAAGAACACAATCAATCTAATTTTGCTTCGTGCAAAGTGGAGTTCTTCATCAGCACCTGGCGACATGACTGGGAAGTTTCTCCAGTCAAGCTCCAGGATCTGCAGATGAAAAGAAATCCATGCCATTCCCTCCCATTGGAATGGCAGTTGCCATTGGAACCTTAGTCGACTCGACAAACGCCGCCTGTTGGAACGCTGTTGCTGTTGGGAGGCCTTAGCGTTGGTGGATGCACTGGAGGCTGTGAGGGCCTGAGATCTGCGAGTGATTCTGAGTTCGGGAAGTTGTTGAGTCTGAAATAGCAGGTGCTTTGTAGCATTTGGTGCCGGGCCGCCCCTTGAGCGCCTGATTGATGAATGCCAGAAGGAGTTGGTTCTTGCAGTTTTGTGTGGAGGTTTTGTGACTTAGAACTTCGATGAACATTGAACCTTTCTTGAGGGACACTGCAAATGCCAGTGATGCATATTCAGCTTAGAGCATGACTCACATTATGTGCTTACGCTTTGACGCTTCACCAAAGGCAGTCGTGCCACAGTACCAGATAGCAACCCCAACAGGTGGAGGCAAGGATGTCAGCATCCGATTCCGACCACCATGCATGGGTCTTTCAGAATGGCCATTCACATCAACCGAGCCCACCCTTCGGTGCTTTTTCTTGTGGCTCTTCCTGTGGCTCTGCCCTTCTTGTGGATTTGCCGCTACACCGCGCCCCAGGTGGACGTGGATCGCCTGGGCTGGTGGCTCTGCGAGCGCCAGACGCCCAGTGGCGGCTTCAACGGGCGACCCGAGAAGGCGCGGCCGTTCTCGAAGCGGTGGAAGGAAGAGGCGGCGGTTGTGTTTGGATGTGATCGGTGGAGCTCGGTGGCTTGGTTGAATTGAGCCTTGAAGCGCAGCCAACCGGAGATTTCTGAGATGTTTTGGAGAAAACGGCACATTGCCATGGTCAAAGCTCCTTGAAGCCTCAAGCCTCCCATGGCAAGCTGCCCCCGTTCTTGTTCGGCCCACCTAAACATATCAGGGCGTCGTCTCCACGTAGACCAGAAAGCGATGATTGGATGCCAAAGCCCACATCTTGTTGCTGCAGTTTTTAGGGTTCCTCATTCTGAACTTGAAGGTCTGAAGGATTCGGTTCTAACTCACGTCCGTCCCAAGGATTCGCTCTCAAATTGAAGAGCACTGCCAAAGAGTCCAAGACACCTGTGATGTTTTTCCATCCGTTTTTTCCGATGTTTTCGACGAACGGCCCCTACCAGCAGCGTCCCCTTCCAACGGTGCCACGGTCGTCTTCCCACCTGGACGGCACGGACGGCACGTGTTCTCTTTGGGGCCGCGAGGCGCCCGATGTGTGCTACAGCTGGTGGATCTTGTCGGCCTTGGTGACCCTGGATCGCGCGCACTGGATCGACATGGAAAAGCTGGTGCGGTGAATTGGCTGTGTCGATCCATGTCGATCCTCGATGTTTTGGTATTTGGTGGAGGTGGTTGAATGGTTGGAGAAGTGTCTTAGGTACGACCTGGTCAAGATGCTGTTTTGGCATACTGTTCTTCGGTTGATGTTTCTTTGGTCAGTCAATATGCTGCTGATGTTTGTGACTTCCGCGTTGCTTGCGCGAAGCGTGGCCACAGGCTGACTTCATAGCTCTCGCACAGGATCAGGAGGAGATCCTTGGGTCGAGAGGTGCAGAAGTGCGAAGGGAGTGCTTCGGGCTAGATGAATCAAGCATTTTCCATATCATTAGTAGAGCTCGCTCGCATAGGAGTGCTTCCACCATCTTCCGCCGTGGCTGAACAGTGTCCTCCTTCGCGAACATCCTTCGCTGACATCCTTCGCTGCGTGGAGATAGGACATGCTAAATCCAAGCTCAATGGGTGGCATATTTTCTTTGATAGATTCTTTTTAAGGGTGTCTTGACTCATTTGCATCTTTCGATGGATTTTCCGAAGACCCCGTTGCTGACGAACCCTCCAACCAGCTCCGAAATCGACAAAGACCCGCGAGGATGGCGGCATCGCTGACAGACCTGGCGATGTGTCGGGCGATCTCAGGGGGGCCTTGTTCTAGCGATCTTGGCAAGATGGGTGTGGTGTTTGGATGGGGGACCACCTTGGCCCAGTGGGTTTTCGTACGTTTTCGTCCACTTTCTTTCTTCGGTCTCACACCCGGTGTTGGACGCAGATGCAACGATGCAACGCCCCTGAGTGTCTCAAGAATCGAAAGTGGGTTGTGCATGAAAATAGGGAGACTTCCCAGTTCGACTCCCTGGAAGGTACGGAAAGTGGACCAAAAGGCAACGAGGTGAGGGTCCCCCTATTGAAATACACAACCAGGTGAACATGGAGATTTGATTCGAAGATACCCACGTTCGATGGAGACTTCCTGAAGATGAGACGCGAGACTTCACGTTTGCGGGACGAGACTGGGTTTCACGATCCAGGACCAAGTTGTATACCAACTGTTCACCAACATGAGCTGGCTGTTTAGAATCGGAAAAAATCGGGCAGCTGGGCCGTTTTGGCACAGTGGTCAAAACGAGGGCGCTTGGTCTTTTTGTGGAAGGGTTTGTTTTGAAACAAGATTGGAGAATGGCCGCAACATTGCTCCAGCTAAAGGCATTGATGCTAGAAATGCTCCTAGGATCTTTTAGCTTCCTTCGCATTTTCAACATCTCAGCCGTCAGACCAAACCCTCCAAATACACCTCCAACTCATCACCTTTTTGCAGCTCAAAGAATCCACACCTGGCTAAAGCCCCTTTAAGCCAGCTATCTCTCAGTTCAACTTCCAACACCTTTGAATCTTGTTGCAGACTCTGTCGGCAGAACATGGGACCGACTTTCGTGGTTTGCACCGAAGGAAGAAGGCCCCAAGGTCGGCATCCGACTCGACTGGCCAAGGCCAGATGTCTTTCACACCTTCTTTGGCCTGGCGGGCTTGTCGTTGATGAGGCCGGTGAAACCCATCGCCGGTCCTCACCGGGAGGTCGGTGTGGAGGCTGCCAGGAGGCGGCTGTCGGAGGCCAGTCGGTTCTGGGTGGCGCCTGCGGGTGGTTGGGCCCTCTGGGAGATCTGCTTTGGTGCTCCATCGCTGTTCGGGCCTCCGCGAACATCTCGGGCGCCAGGAAGGCCGATTTGGCCCCGATCCATTGCGTCTACGCGCTCCCACTCGAGGCGGGTTTCAGCCAGCGGTCGGAGCCATCTGCAGATCCGGTGCTGGGTCTCGGATCGTCTGTTCGACACAGGAGGCTCACATTGAAAGGTGGCTCGGTTCCAATCCAGACCTGAACCGCTGTTGTTGCAGCCACCTGGACACTTTGAAAGGGGTGGCGTTTGGGGCCTAAGGGGCTATAAATAGACATACATACCCCTCTGGGGTCCTAGTACATGTCCTGGTTGTTGTTTGTTTGTGAACGCCGGAGTTCCAGACAGACACACGGAAACTCAACACGGCACGCCGTGCCCAGGTGGTTCATCGCATGCACTTGCCGGTCATTCTCTCCATGTACGAGCGAGGCCCGTTCTCAGAACCCGGGCTCTCATTTGGAAGGCAAAGACTGGTACCTGGAAGGCATCTTCTGGCTTCCGTGAGCTCCCCAACAATCTGTTTGTTATGAGGTATGCCGATATGCTTGAAAGAGGACAGCAAAGTGTAGAATGGTGACCTTGTTTTTCCTTAGGTCTAGAATCATCCAAGGAGGGTTGCAGATCAGCAGAACACGGATCAGCAGAACGGGCAGTTTTTCACAGATCCGCGGTCCTTGAGTGGCCCTTGTCTTTCACAGGTTGAAGCTGCGTGCTGAGAGAACGAACAGACAGGGCCGGTCAAAAAGGCGATGAACTGTTGCAGAGCGCGTACATGTCGTCAGATTGTTAGCAGAAGCTGTGCATGTTGCAAACATTTGCAAACAAGATCCACCACCTTGGACACCTTGCGAAGACAACCTGTGTTCATGGTGGGCACTCAGTATCGCTGCATCCAGCCTTTTGGCCAAGTTGCGCTGAAACAAGGTGGTGTGGACGGAATTTGCATGGTTGCTTTTGAAGGCTACGTGGCATTGCCATGTGCGATTGGGATGATCTGCAGCTGTTTTCAGCCGCGGACCCCACATCCGCAAGGAGTTTTTTAGGCCTCGTTTCATGGAGGCCTGGGTCGAGGGTCGGTGGGAGCGAATATTGAGAATGATTCTCTGACAACTGCTCCAGTGACCATCTTCAGTCAAGATGAATTCTGCGTGGTTGGCTCTACTCACTTGTGTGCAGCCTGTGCAGCCTCTCTCCTCCACTCCTTCAATGCAGGTCGTGAAGGAACAACAGAATGCGCAACAAGTGGATCTTGCCCACACGTAGGGTGCTGGAACTATCAAAGTCCAACATATTCCGTATACCCTGCATGTCTACGTGCCCTGCACCCCAAGCACCCTGAAAGGACAGACCAAAAAGGGAGTGTGGGCTCCGGCTCTGAAACAAAATGGTTTGAGGAGCTTTCTAAGTTGTTTTGGAACTGGTGCAAAAACCCTTGAGTCCCTTGAGAAAGCATGAAACATGGCATAGCACGACTGGACAGAGACCATCTTCAGCAGATCCCTTCTTCGTATCACAGTGGGAGGGCCAGCTGCAAATGATGCAGCCATGCAGCCAATGCATTGCAGCCAATGCATGTACTGCCACTGTATCATCAAAGTAACACCAAGTTCTTCAAATATCTAGCCGACCCTCATCCGATCATGATAAGTTGGGTGGGGCTGGGTCCAGTGTCAAATGCTGTGTAGGTGTTGAGATTGTGCACCTGCTGGCTTGAGTTGTCTATCTCCCTCTCTCTCACACACACACGCACACGCTACATACGGTTGAAACTTGAAACCCAGAGAACGTAAGCAACAAGGCAGTAAAGCAACGTTTCTTTGCCTCCGCGTTTGCTCTCTGGGTTGACTCAGCTCGTGCTTCTAGCATTTCGTGAGAAGCTGTCGCGCTCTGCATTCACAAGTACGTTCATATTCATTTAAGGCGCCCTCAATCCTTCATTGAATAGCTCACCGCCACTTACTTTCCAAGCTTCACAGGGCCCGGATCACATTATGCACACACATTCTTCCTTAAACCTTAAGCCGGAATGCCCATGCTGCAAAAGGAGAATATGTCATGCGAAGAAAGTCCGGCACACCGCCTGAGAGCCACGGCCGCGCACACGCTGCGCCACGTGTGAGGCGCCACGGCTGCGCACATCCGCGTGTCGCGTGAGGCGCCATGATGCAGCAGTTGGGGAAGATCTTTAGCCCACGTCGAGCCTCCACTGCATCCAATGAAGCCTCGCCCAAGAGTCCGGGCCCATTTGTGCTCGGGTGAGCAGCGCGCGAGATTCGCGTTCCGCGGCTTCGACGTCCCTTTTTTGGGGCACAATAAGCTACCAGCTACCAGGTAGTATGTGTCAGGGTGAATGAACATGTCTTTTGCCGTGGCTTTCTGGAAAAAAATCCGCAGATGAGAGGACCAAGACATGTGACCCGGACGACGTCCCGAGGACCCGAGGACCCGAGGACATGCGCGGGACTCGCGTTGCGGGGCTCGGTCCTTCCGTTTAGGCTAAACGTCGTGGTGGTTTCCAAGGCCATGAGCTGAAGGGACTTCAAGATGCTTTGACCGCTGCCTATACCTGCGAGGCAGGGAACTCTCAGTGCTGAACGGTCTGCGCGTGTCGCAGCTCGAGGCAGATCCTCGTGATGTTTTTTGCTTTAGCCACTGAGTCCATCAGGTCATTATCCACTTTTCAGATGGATGATTAAGCGGGCAGGAATATTTGGCAAGAGAATAGCTCCCCTCACTCCCTTCTGAACGGTCTTTTGAGACAGATGTCAAGCACCATTGACAACAAAAAACAATCTGGGAAAGATCTGGATCAGTAAACTTGTTCTGCCAAAATGGAGAACCTGAGAACACCAAACTGAAATCCACTTTACTTCGAGTAATCCCCATCCTGAGAGGCGATTTAGAAGAGGGCACATGTATTGACAGACTGAAAAACGCTGCCTGACACGTGGACTGTTCCGACACGTTCTGACATCAATTCTGGTAGGGCTGGGACATGTTCTGTTCTGGAATGTATCTGACATCCCATCTGGCATGTGCTCTGACTCCTGCAGTCAAGTCTGACATATCTTCTGGCATGTACGGCATGTACATGTTCCTTCCCACCAAATCTGGCATGTGTTCTGAAGTGTGATGTGGCATATTGCGTGACTTCTGTTTGGAAATGTGTTCTGTCACGTGCTCCGACATTTGTTCTGATTTGGCATTATGTCTGGCGAGTGTTCCAACATTTGTTCTGGCACGTATTCCGACATTTGTTTTGACATTTATGCCGGCGTCAAGTAAAAGCATGTCTTCTGACATGTTTTCTGTCTTCTGTTTCGACCTTTGCTCTGACATGTGTTCTGGCCAAATGTCCAGCGTGCACCACCCTGCTGCCAGGCCTGGTAGAAGTCCTGAGCGTGCAAACATCCAGTGCTGGCATGTGTTCTGGTATGCCAGACCTGGCATGTGTTCTGGCATGTGCCCTGTGGTCCAATCTGTTCGGACATATCTTCTCGGAATGGTGGATGGAAGGCAGAAAGGTGGCCGGAGGTGAGCACATACACAAAGCACATCAAACCACTGTCAATATGATGGGTTTCATACCATACTAAAGAGGTGTAAGGCACTCAATCACAAGTCGAACCTGTAGACAAGCAAGACCCATTTTGGATCAAGGAACAGGAAGTGAACATCTACCAATGCTCAATGAGCTGCAACCAGACA